CCAGAGGGAGTGCCAGGATAGGCTCCAAAGCTACACAGAGAAACCCTGTGTTGAGTAACCAAAAAAAAAAAAAGACTAAGTCAAGTTTTGGAGATGATATAATTGCAGGAATGTAGGTGAACTGGAGGATGCTCCTGTAGAAAACCCTACACCTACCTTACAACCCTCTGGGAGTTGTACCCAGTCTGTCCTGCCCTCTGCAATGCTCTTGGGGATGTGCTTGGTCTGTATAATTGTGTTGTATGCATTTGAAGTGCCTCTGACTCCTACATTACTTTGTGTTGTTTCCTAGGCTGGTCTCAAAATCTTTATTCTCCTGCTTCTCAGCCTTCTGTATACCTGAGACTTCAGCCTTGTGCCAAAGGGCCTATCACTATACTTCACTTTTAGTACTTCAAAGGAATGACCAAGAAGAGATGAACCTTATGCATCCAGCTTTTTGCTTTTCCCATTGTTAATATGATTCTTGTGATCCCTTTAGAGTAGGTCTTAGGCAATGGGGGGATCTTTTGGCAAAAGTGGTCTCCGCCCTTTCTTGGTTTTACTCACTTAAGATGGCTTCTCGAATACTTGATTTATTCATACTTGGTCGCAAGTGGCTTTGATTGTAAGATATTACCTTTGACCTCATTCATGCCTATGGAAAACATACAAGGATTTGGAGCAGAACTGCATCTGATCCGTATTGAAGAGCCTTATTCAGCTACTGGCATCATAATAGCTTCTAGTCCCTTCAGACACTGGACTCTGTAGACATTATTTTGTAGTTTGTATAATTTCAGTCCTGCTACAATGCTTTATCATGCAGTTTTTATAACATGTAGGACCTTCCAGGGCCTGCACTTTTCACAGATGATCTTCCTTCTTGGGCACTGCTACCAGTCATTTTCAGAGTGTGATCTTCTTTTATAATTATACATTTTGTTTGTTTTGTTTTTTGCCACAGGGTTTCTCTATGAAGTCCTGGCTATCCTGAAACTTGCTGTGTAGATCAGGCTGTCTTCAAACTCTCAGAGATCTGCCTGCTTCTGCCTCTGGAATGCTGAGATCAGAGGCCTGCACCACCTTGCCTTGCTCGGTGCTTGAGTTGTGTTGTTTTGTGTTTTGTAGTGTAGATCTTATTTGTCATTTATTACATGTTCTGTTTTTTAAAGTTTGTAGTTTTTTTTTAGGTTTGTGTTTTTATGTGTATTCATGTTTTACTTTCATGTATACCTGTGCGCTACATATGTGCCTGGTGGTCATGGAGGTCAGAAGAGGACATGGGGGTGAAGCAGAGAGATGGCTCAGTTGTTGAGAGCACTTATTATTGCTGAAGACCCAGGTTTGATTCCCAGCATCTACATGGTTGTTCACAACTGTTCATACTCCATTTTCAGGATGCATATGATAACATATGTTTGCACAGAAGCAAAACATTCATGCACATAAAATTAATTAAAAATTATTTTAAAAAGAAGAGGAGGGGGGGCGTCAGATCCCCCAAAACTGGAGTTATCAATGGTTTTGAGCCAACATATGGTACTAGGAATTTTTTTTAACTGTAAAGCTATCTCTAGACCCCATACTTGTGTGTTAAAACTCATTGGCTTGAAGAAGGAAGTCTTTGTCTTAGTCCCAGCACTCACGCAGAACATGCCTGTGGTAGGTGCTGGAGCACCATACTTGGGTGTGTGAGCCATCTAAAACAAAGAGCTACAACATTAAAGGGTATGACAGTCAAATGATTAACCTGATGGTGCTTCTCTGGACCGTGGGCACCTTCAAGGTGTGGCCACCACACCTCATTCTTGTGGCTTTTTATTGCATATCATCCATGTTTGTAAGGAAATTGTTTCAAGTTTATGTTTCCTGTCGCCTGTCTCCTGTCTGACTGTGTCCAGTTCTGACCAACATCTGCCATTTGTTGCTTTCTAGCTCACTTTTTGTTGGAACATTAGAATTTTTGTGTTTCCAGTTTATTTTAGTAGCTCAAGTACGTGGACTTTGGGTTTTAGTGATGATGCTCTGCTTTAGGTTGTATTCCTTATGTGTCATATTCTGGGGAACTGGTTTGTACAGTCAGGAGATTCTAGAAGCACAGAAACTGGCTCAGCTTTTTATCAGCTTCAGTGGCCTAAGCTGACTTTGTGTCCCAACTTAAATGTGAGCTACCTGCTTTTTTCAGTTTTTTTGTTTGTTTGTTTTTGTGTTTTCTTTGTTGGTTTTTCGAGGCAGGGTTTCTTTCTGTAGCTCTGGCTGTCCTGGCACTAGCTCTGTAGACCAGGCTGGCCTCAAACTCACAGAGATCTTCCTGACTCTCCCCCCCCACACACACACCCCTAGTGTTGGGGTTACAGGTGTGTACCACCACCCCTTGGCTTTTTTTTTTTTCAGATAGACTGGACTTTAACTCACAGAGATTGCCTGCTTCTGCCTCCTGAGTACCAGCATTAAAGATAGGTGCCTCCACACTCAGTCCTATCATCATCATTTTTTTAGGGTCTCATTATATATTATAGTCAGGTATAGCCTCAAATTTATGATCCTCCTGTCTTAACTTCAAGTGGTGGTACAATGAGAGCTCTCTTAGTTGGAATAGTTGAAAAGTGATACCTGCATGTTTTGTTTTTCTCTTATACATGAAATAGAATATTATTTGTTGTAAGGTTCATTTCTCAATGTTATGTTCGTGTCATTGTCCCTTCTGTGGCGTTATTAGTCACATTACTTTATAGTAGCATCTGGGGCAGGGTGGGTCTATAGTAAGCAGTTGTCCTCTGCGTATCAGGGAGTTGAACAGCATTCTTACCCAGTTGTGACAATCAAAGATATTTTAAATAATTTCAAATGTCCTGAGTTACAGTTAAACAAATGAACATCAAAAACAGGAGAATTGTGTATGGTGGCATGACTTCAAGGCTAGCCAGATGTACATTCTGAATTATATGTTGGCTTGGGCTACACAATGAAAGACTGTCTCAAAACAACAGCAGAAATACAGAAAAGTTGCTGGGTGGTGGTGGTGAACACCTTTAATCCAATGGATTTCTGTGAGTTGGAGGCCAGCTTGATCTACAGAGCAAGTTCCAGGACTGGCTCCAAAGCTACAGAGAAACCCTGTTTCGAAAAAAACAAATAATCAAAAAATACAAACAAATAAAAGGGCTTTAAAAAAATACAGAAAAACTTTACAAGGTGATTTAAAAAAAAAAAAAAAAACACAGCCATAGCCGGGCATTGGTGGCACACGCCTTTAATCCCAGATCTTGGGAGGCAGAGGCAGGCGGATCTCTGAGTTCGAGGCCGGCCTGGTCTCCAGAGCAAGTGCTAGGATAGGCTCCAAAGTTACACAGAGAAACACTGTCTCGAAAAACAAACAAACAAAAAAAAGTCACAGCCATTGAGTTAGGCATGTTGACACAAACATGTAATCCCAGCAGTAGGAATCAGAGGCTGTTGGATTTCATTTAAAAAAAATACATATATGTATGTACATATATATATATATATACATATATATATATATATGACACACACACGTACATGCATGCAAATATACATATACCTATATATACATATATATTGGTGCTTTTCGTTCTTGGTGCAGATGTAGTTTGTCGGGCAATTCAAATCATGTGGGTCTAATTAAGTTATCTTATAGCTCTTCTGCATTTTCTCTGGTTTGTCAAAATCTGCAGCCTGCTGGATTCCATCAAAGTCACTGCTGCTGTTGTGGCTGTTTGTCCATGCAGGACTCCTCTGTGTACTTAAATCTGGAGTGCTGGGAAGTTGGTCAGGTGACTACAGTGTTCTAAATTTCAATCAGGATTTTGAGTTCACCGCAATGTCACTAAACAGCTATAGTTTTCACTTAGCTCTGTGATGTTAATCTTCTGATTGGATTTGTGTAATTTGTTACAGAATTTTTTAGAAAGTGATTTTGTCCTTTGGTTAAAAATTTTAAAGTGTAGGTTAGGTGTGGTAATGTAGGACTTTAATGTCAGTACTCAAGCAGGCTCTTGAGTTGAAGGGCAACCTGATACATGGAGAGACCAGGACTTCGATAATAATGGTAAATAAATCAAAACAGGCTGGGCAGATGGCGCATTTGCTAAAGTGCCTGCTCTGCAAGCATGAGGACCTGAGTTGAGATTTCCAGCATCCATGTAAAAGTCAGACTTATGTGTAAGATTAGGTGTATAAGCCTAGTACTAGGGGCAGGAATAGGGGTGAAAGGATAGGTGGATCCTTGCAGCTCATTGGCTAATGAGCTAACTAACAAGTCTAGAGGAGTTAACTTGAGGTTCAATGAGAGACACCCCATTAAGGAGAACAGTGTTCTAGCTTTCACATGCATAAATATGCACACATCCATGAAAACCTATGTACATGTGCACTAAAAAGCAAAAACCTAATTCATGTTCTTTTTTTTTTTTTAAGAAAAATAGATCAGCTGGGCATTGGTGGGGCACGCCTTTAATCCCAGCACTGGGGAGGCAGAGGCAGGCGGATCTCTGTGAGTTCGGGGCCAGCCTGGTCTCCAGAGCGAGTGCCAGGATAGGCTCCAAAGCTACACAGAGAAACCCTGTCTCGAAAAACCAAAAAAGAAGAAAAAAAGAGAAATAGATTGTGTGCTTGCTTTGGCCGCACATATACCAACATTGGAATGATACAGAGAAGATTAGCATGACCCCTGCACGAGGATGACATGAAAATTCATCAAGCGTTGCACATTTAATTTAAAAAAAAAAAAAAGATTGTTCATTTCTGTTTGTGTCCCTTGGTATGAGAACTTTGTGTTTTAATCCAACTGCGATGTTTTTTCTTCTTTGTGTCTTCCAGCAAGCGGGGTTTCAGTGTCCGGTCCTTTGGAACAGGAACTCATGTGAAGCTCCCAGGACCAGCACCTGACAAGCCCAATGTTTATGACTTCAAAACCACATATGACCAGATGTACAATGATCTTCTCAGGAAAGACAAAGAACTGTATCCCATGGCTGACCCTTAGAGAAGCAGGGTGGTGTTCTGGTGGGTGTGATTTGTGACTGGTAGTCACTCTGACCCCCGCCCTGCAGGGTGTGTTTTAGGTGGAACAGGACCAACAAATGTGCCCTGGCATTTGTGCCAGTAGTGCCCACATCCATCCTTTTTCTATTTATGAGAAATCAGCTCCTTTTTCTTTTCTTCTTTCTTTGATTTATTTATTTATTTATTTATTTATTTATTTATTTATTTGTTTTTCTGTGAATTTGAGACTGGGTCTCACTAAGTAACCTGCCTAGCCTGGAACTTACTCTGTAGACTAGGCTGACCTTGAACTCACAGAGCTCCTCCTACCTCTGCCTTCTTAGTGCTGGGATTAAAGAAGTGCAGTACCAGCCCAGTGAAGAACTCAGTTTCTTTCCTTTTGCCTACTGGAGAGTCTAGAGTAGTGATTCTCAACCTGTGGGGTGTGACCCCTTTGTAGGTCACATGACCCTTTCACAGGTTGCCTGAGTCCATCAGGAAACACAGATATTTAATTGTGATTCATAATACCAAAATTGCATTATGAAGTAACAACAAAAAATTTTTTTTGGTTGGTGTCATCAGAACACAAGGGTATTAAAGGGTCACAGCATCAGGATGGTTGAGAACCATTGGTCTAGAAGTACACCTGCAGACACAAATATAAAACTACTTTGATGTGATCAACCAGAAGGCTCTGATATGTTATTAAGCAGTGAAGCGTGGGTGAGGAAATAGAAACTACACAGTGCTGGTCCTTCACACTGTAGGCTGCCCAGCTGCTTCCATGGAGGTTTGTCTGCACACTAAAATGTTGAGGCTGTTAGACATTTCTGTGGCTCTTGCAGATATAATACCTGGGTTAGTGGCTCATGCTTGTGATCTCAGCCTTTGGGAGGCTGAGGCAGGGAGATTGCTGCAAGTGTTGAGGCCAACCTGGGCTACATAGTTTGAGGCTAGCTTGGGCTATAGAACAAATCCTGTCTCAAAATCAAAAACAATAAAAAGATGCTGTGCTAATTAAAGCATGAAAAAATAAGTATTCTGCAAAAACTACTCCAGGAAGAGTCAGAACAGTCTGAATCTTGTACTATAGACTCATGAGAAAAGAAAAAGGTATTTTAAAATAGGTTTTCCATACCATGTTCTAATCAGTGCCCCAGGTGTTTGAGTGGGCCATTTTATGATAATCCCCATACTCACTTGATATGTCCCATGTTCATATGCTTAGTATGTGCATGAGGCCCTGAGATTGACCCTGAGACTTGTAAATAAAACTACTAAATATTCTTTAGTTACAGTAGTGCTCACAGTGGAAAGTGAATATATGCATCAATTTTTTTCCTTTGTGGTTTTAGTTGGTCAGACCTTCAGCCTTGTACATGCTAGCCTAGGCTAGCACTCCTCCAGTGAGATATTTCTAGATCCAAAACTTTTTTTCTTATAAGACATGTTCTCATTATGTATCCCTAACTCGCTTGTAATAATCTGTATAGACCAGGCTGGCCTCAAACCTAGAGATCTACCTGCCTCTGCCTCTGGCTCTACCTCCTGGGTGTTGGGATTAAAGGTGTGGGCTACTCCACTACATCCTGCCTTTTTCATTTTTCTTCTTTTCCTCATCTATTCACTTTTAAAAGTTCAGTTAGGGTTTCACTAAGTTTCCCAAGCTGGCTTTGAACAAACTCTAGCCCAGGTAGGCCATAAAATGTTGCTTCTCCTGCTTTAGCTTCCCAAGAGACTGAGATTACAGAGCTGTATTATTCCTGAAAGCATTTTGTCTCCTTTTTCTTTTTATATTCATACACTCTTGCAACTTTTCATATAAACAAAAATTTAAGCTAGTGTAGAGTCCTAACTACTCAGGAAGCTAAAGCAAGAGGATTGCTTGATCCCAGAGTTCAAGGCTAACCTGGGTAATTGAGAGACTTAGCCTCAAAAGAAAGCAAGCAAGCATGCTCTGGGTATACAACTGTCACTCAGGTTGCTGAGATGAGATGGTCGTGAGACTTTATCAAAAAGAAAGGATATAATAAATTAAAAATATTTTTGTAGGTACAAAGATGAACTAGGTAGCTTGAAGGGTCCCAAATGCCTTCTGGTGAAAAGTAAATCCTTATGGTCCCTACATCTTTGTCACCCCCATCCTGTTTCCCAGTCCTCCCTCAGCTACAGGGTCAGCTACATTGGCTCAGAAGCAGGTATTTCCTGTTAGCCACACACTTGCTTTGGGGGTGTTTGGGGCTGTGAAGTGTTTAGGGACTGCACCACAGTGAGCTCACTCTGATCTTCAAGCACATCTGGTACTTTTCCCTACAGAGAAATCCAGGAATCTGAATTTGTACTGGGTAAAGCAGGCTGTGTTCTGCTCACATCCTTGTCTAAAGAGGGCTTACTTGTATACATGGCAGGGCGGGAAGGTCTGAACAGCTTCTTCCTGAAGCCACTCTGGTGAGCATGGTGTAAGATGGGCTGTATTATGTAGCTGTGCCTGTCTGGAACTTACTATGTAGAACAGGCTGGCATCTGTTGGGATTAAAGGCATGCACTACCGTGTTCTCAGGACTATCCTTGGCCAAAAGAATGTCTCTTCCTGGGAATTTTCTGTACATTGGCATCCAACTAGTTCAGTAAGGACATTGTCGATATCTATGGAGGGGAGCATAGAGGTTGGAAGGATCACTTTATGGGGACACCCATTTGTTCCAGTGTAGACCACTGCAAGAAATTGGGAAAGGGGTAGTCCTGTTCTTTGAAAGGTAACCACGATAGCATTCCTCAGTATGTAATAAGTGCCCCTGCATGATCTTACATAAAACTCATAGTTTATAGTGAAGAGCTAGAAGAATATTTTAAGATGTAACCTACAAATAAACACGCTGCTTACATTTTCAAGGGGGAAAGCGTTTTGTGAGGGGTAGGAAAAAGATGTTTGATTAGACTAGGGACCTCGTGGCCTAGAGACCACCTCTGCCATATTTTTATTCTGTGTGACTAGATCGTCAGTTTCTCCATATTTTCCACCTCATGAAATTCTGGTAAACCAAGCTGAGTACAGTAGTGGCCACTTGAAAATGGCCTAGCACTTGGGCAGTAGATGTAGAAGTTAAAGGTCATGCTCAGCTACATAGTGAGTTCAAGACTGGCTTGCATTACATCAAACCCTCTATCAGTAAACAGAACAAATGAGGGAACAGCATCCATACATAGCATAGACCTTGTATTCTGTAAATTTCTGATAGATTTTAGGCAGTATTTGTAGTATTAATACCTTTGTGTGTAAGAAAGGGTGGTCTTATTGTTCATGTAACTTTGGCTGGCTTGGAAGTCATTTTGTAGATCAGGCTGGTCTTAAACTCATAAAGTCCTCTTGCCTCCCAGAATGCTGGGATTAAAGACTTGTGCCAGGTGCTGGAGAGATGGATCAGAGGTTAAGAACACTGATTGCTCTTCCAGAGGTTCTGAGTTAAATTCCCACATGGTGGCTCACAACCACCTATAATGAAATCCGGTGCCCTCTTCTGGCCTGCATACACGCAGGTAGAATACTGTATACATAATAAGTAGCTAAAACTTTAAAATTAAAAAAAAAAAAAAGATGTGCTACCATATCCAGCCTTAGACATACTTGTTGATTTAGGTTGGGCTTATAGCTGATGAGGCCATTGAAGAAAAAAATGTGGTAAGTCAAACGTTCATTTATCAAGCTGGGTGTTGGCGGCTCACACTTTTAATCCCAGAATTTAGGAGGCAGAGGCTAGCCTGGTCTATATACTAGGACAGCCAGAGATACACAGAATACCCTATCTCAAAAAAACAAAAAGAAGTACATCTACCTAGTCTACACTTGGTAACCTGGACTGTGAAGCTGACAGGAAGTTGAGCTCAGCTAGCGTTACCCTTGGTTTTAGGAGTATCAGACTGTCTCACCAGCCTAGGAGTAAACACAAGCTCTGTATAGTATCTACACTTTCTACTGAATATATATCATTCTCATGCCTAAGTCAGGGATTATACATTTAATTTCTTTTTTTTTTTTCCTTTTGGGTTTTTTTTTTTTTTTTTTTTTTTTTTTTGAGATATTTTTCCTCCTTGTGTAGTCCTGGATGTCTTGGAACTTACTTTGTAGACCAGGCTGGTCTCAAACTCCCAGAGTGCTGGAACTAAAGGGGTGAGCTACCACTGTTTTTCACAAGCAGAAATGAGCCTGAAGAATAGAAATTTGTTTCATAATGTCTCAGTGGACCCCACCCATGGGAATTGTTGAGGCCAGTGGGTCTGAACTGAAAATAAATCAACTATTTGCCTTCACATGTTGATAAAGCTAGTGTAGGTTGCTTTGTGGTTTTTCCCATTTCCCTTTTGGAGAATTACCTATAGTTAGAGACACATGCACATACCTAGATCAGTGATAGGAATTCTCCTAAGTTCACCTGATCCCTAGAGGCAGATATCTTTAAAACCAGATATGGTGGTTGTGTTCCACTATCTGAACTTCTCTGAAGCTGAGGGAGGAGGAGCCTGCCAATGCAGAGTCTGCCTGGATAACAAACTAGACCCATCTCAAAAATGAGCTACCACATACCTATCTTCCCAGTAGTTGGGAGTCTGAGGTTGAATTTAATGCTAGCCTGTGTTAAAAAGCAAGTAAATTTAGGAGGTTTTTTTTTTTTTTCTATCAGGGTTAGGTGAACCTGGAACACCTTTGGTGGCAATACAAGTTGATGATGA